CTTTCTGAAGGTGTACTCTACAAGGGAACGCTATACAGACTTTTCAAACTAGCTGAAAGCACAGAGCATCTCAGCAGCCTACGCCGATCTACAGGCCTATGGAGCTCAACTCTCAGTATTTGAGCTAATCCATTTACAGGTTTGCACACTAGCTGACAGACCCTCAGCTACACATGGGATTAAAAGCATTTCACTTTCCTATCTATCACATCTAATGAGCCATTCCTATTGTCTAATTTTAAAGGATCAAATTGAAGCTTAGTAAACCTCTAATTATGTTGCTTTATCATAAATTATTTAAAATATATTCTTATATTTCACAGTAAAATGAAATCCTCAACGCTTTGTCACACAGGTAGCTCATTTCAAACATTTACACAAGAAAATGCCAGAAACTTGGTTCAAAAGAACTTCAAYGTATCAAAAATCTTTTCCTGAAATACAATCTCAAATCTATGGCTTCATTAAGTCAGGCAACTTCTGAGACCAGGATGAAATGGATAGCTAATGAAGAATGAATAAAAGGTTATTATGAAAATGCAAGATTGTATGACAAGACCAAAATCCATTTCCCTTAAGGGAGAAATTTGTCTTTAGTTGCAGTGGAAGAAGCAGCAGCTTCCAAGTGGCACCAGAGCAGGACACTGGGGGCATGGGAGAAGTCAGCAAGTGCAGCAGAGCGGCAGATGTGAAACACGCTTTCGATGGGCTTTCCATTCGAAACTGGACACCCATGGRGTCAAACCTAAGTAAGACCCCTCAAAACTTGTGAACCTGAAGAAACAAACTAACTACACTTTTAAAAGCCCTACTGCTTTAAAAGAAAGTTTGATTATATTTGAACTTGTGCAGAATGAAAAATATCAGTTGACCTTTGCTGCTGCCGTGCTGGCTCCTTCATTGTGACCTGATTTAAGAGTTAAGGTATTTYGGCCATCTACATATTTATTCTGTATGGATGCACATTTGAGCTTTTGACCTGCACAGATCACGTGCAGGGCAATCCGAGCCCCTAACTGAACGCGGGCTGGAGGACAGTTATGCTAAGAGCTACATCATGGCTTGACGTTTCTAACGACCTTGCAGTTCTCAGGGAAGGTACAAATACTGCAGCAATCACAARCCGATGTTACTGAGGTTTCCAGAGCTGTTACAGCAAGCACCCTTAGAGAACCCACCTTAATATCCACAGCAGAGCTGACCCAGAATGCGGTTCAATCGCAGGGCTGGCAGGCCAGGAGGCAGCTCCCAGCTCCAGCTCTGACCAGGAAAGCTCTCCCCGGAGAGGAGCGGACGGTCCCTCCTTCCACGGCACGGTCAGGGTCCGTGGGAAGCACCTTGGGAGCAGTGCCCAGGCAGGGGGGTCAGGAGGCAGCCTGCAGGAATCAGCAGCGCCGCCACTGACCTGAACCCTTCCGGGTTTCTCCAATCTGGCTTTCTCCAGGGTACTCCAATCACTTTGCCTTTATCCTGCCTTCTCTCCCGCATCATTTCAGAAGAATTTGAGTCAGACAAAAAAAAGAGAAAATCACAGCTGAGGGTCCCGAGCCCAGGAAGCAAAGGAACTATTTGCATGGGATTACATTCCCYTGCAGTTGCAAAGGAGAAAGTAAGCGAAGTGTTCACACAAGCTTGTGCCAACACAGGGGCTGTGCTAGTGTGCCATAAATGCACTGTTCAGCCTGAGAAGTCAGATAGATGTAAACCGTTCTGCACCTCTCTGAATCAGTCCCCACATTCGTGCGGTCATCTCTCTGTTTAACAAGCTTGTTGAATATATATCCATATTGCATAAACATAAATATGTATGCAATCATATAACACACATCACATAGTGCATATAGTGTTTATATAACATACATTACCTAGTCATTACTCTTAATATTTTTATAGTCTTCTAGAGGATTTGTGAGGCTCCAGAAGAGGTAATAAGTACAAATCCACTGACTTGCTGGATGCTTAAAAGCCATAGCCTATRCCTTGCTTGGGGTCCCTAGGAAACCAAGACCGGTGAGCTAAAAGCTCTCCAGCTTCTCTACCAAGACCTGTAAGTTAAAAGTTCTCCAGCTTCTCCATAGCTCAGGACCCCCTTCCTCCCCAGATGTCTTTCCTTTCGTAACACTTACTATCCGTAAGTGCTTTATAAAGCTCTTGGTCTGTGCCTGCTCCTAGGACATTTATATAATTCCAAGTCCCATTAGYTTCAACACACATCTGTCTGAACAATGTCAAAATAAAGGTATAGAAGCAGTAACAGATATTCCAATTTATTTATTTCCTTAATACTTGGACACTAGATTATTACCATATTCATATGCAGTATCAAAACTCAAAATGAAATGCAAATTATGAACTAATGATAGTAGATTAAATCACAAGCTTACACACTCCAGAGCCACAACGTTTCTAAAACACAGAGCAGGCAGTTTGTGAGGACTTCTCAGGGATAACAAAGCACAGCATAGCTGACAAAGGATTTAAAAAGGCAGCAAGATGATATTTATGATTGTGATATGAAATCTGGCTACATGTAGCCTTCTGTATCCTCTCTTCCCATTAGTTTTTCAGATGTACCAGGAGGTCAGAGCACTTTAACCAGAGAAATTTATAAGAGGCATTAAAGAATTGTCCTAGGGGACCTGAACAGAGAGATAATCCCAGGATGAAGGAGAGGAAAAGCGAGCAGAGGTTCGTAACTGCCAAGCATCTGGCCCAGATTTCTCAAACATCATTTCTTTGCCTATCTTGATTATCTTCTCATGCTTAACAAARGTCAGATAAAGAATATTTTTAAATGGCTTCTATTTTTCTATAGCCTTTATTCTACACATTCAAGATGTTTATGACAACGTTATAACTGGAACTTTAATATCGACTACTCAGTTTCTTGGCTTGGCATCTCCCATTATGTTGACCATTGTGAGGAAAAAAAAAAAAAACATTTTATCTTCCTGATTTTCCAGCTTTATCTGTAAAGCTGCAGCTGTGTGGGAAATGCTTCTGCAAGAACAAAGCATCTATTAAATCACAGAACACAGCACCGTAGGGACCTGAGAAAACTGCCCTTCTGATAGACAGTGGCTACAGATAAGGGTTTTGTTTGGTTGTTTTTTCACCCCAACTCCTACTCTCTCTTTAAGAGTATCTCTTTAAAATCCTTTCCTCTTCCTCCCCATCTCCTGTTAAGGACAGGACTGTGGCTACTTGCACCCCTTCCCCTGGGGCGGGTGCTCCCTGGCCTCTCTGCCTCCGCACCGCAGCTAGCCACCTGCGGGGCCTCCTTTCGCCTTGGGCAGAGCCCCAGCAGCGCAGGGGCAAGAGCTCGGGACTAGGGCACCCGAGACAGGCTCCCCCCCGTGCCCATTAAGACCATTGTACATCTCACAGGCTGTGGCTCTGCTCTGCTAAAACAGACAGCCACAGTGAAGCAAGTTTCTTGTTATTGTGCTCACCTAAATCGCAAGTTTTTGTTATGGTGCTCACCTAAATCCCCCAGATATCACAGAAGGGTAAGACTTCCCTTCATATGGAAAAGAAGGTGGTTCTAGTCTTCCCAAACAGGGCACTGGAAAAATTTCAGGATACAGGCAAGATGCTTCTGGAAGTCACAGCTGTTTTACAGCCCCTTAGGCACTGACAGATCAGCTTTGCCTTACAGTACATATATGAGTGAGCCACGCTCTCCTTCCTGAAAAACAGCATCAACCTCTCCCTCTTTAAAGTAAGTGCACAGATCCTATCTATGCAACACTGAGATCCTATGAGATACTGAACCTTAATAAAGCACTATTTGGTAGAAACGATCTATTTTTGAATCCTCTGCATAAATGAAAGCATCAGTGTTACTAATACAACAACTATCTAAATGTAGTTTCAGTTCAATTGCACTGAATATAATCATATTCATTATCTTTGTATTACCTTATTGTGCCAATGGTCAAAACTGCAGTGTGTGTTAGRGAACATCTCATTTACAAAATTGCTTCCTGCCTCAGAAGTTCACATTTGGGTTACTCCTCAAACCGCGCTCCATCATAATGACATCTGAAGTGACTGCAGAAAGAACTGCTATTATCTGGATGAATTGCCTCCTCCGATACARGGAAGAACACCACAAGCATAATTAATACGAAAGTAAACACTATTTCTTGTACTTACTTGCAATAATAATGAGATGTACTGTAGATGAAATTGGTAAAACTGGGAATACCAGGCTCGCAAAGCTTTGCTTTCCTGTGTTGCAGGAGATTTCAATCGAATGAACAAAAAACTCCTCCAGAATACAATTACACCAAAACTTTATTGTTTTCATCCAGTTTATCTCTCTATTAGGTGTGCTCTCAAGTCCAAGAAGATGGATGTGAAAGAAGAGCTTTCACATTGACATTATAGTTTTTATTGACATTAACAGTTTCTCTTGATATTAACATTTTCTCTTTGATATTAATAATTTCTCTTTGCTTAAGAATAAGAAATGGAATTATTAGATACTGGAAAAATCAGTAGTCTTGTGACACGTTTCTTACCTCTTCTGTTGCTTACTCCTTACACCTCTCCATAGGTTCACTTTTTTTCTTGTTATAAACTAATACATCACTGTGGTCTTATTAACATTACAGAGAGGTATTATTTTATGAATCTCTAAGCTATAGTCATTTTCAAATGCAATCCACCATTATCTCTGTCCTTCTTGCAATAATTTAAAATGATAGAGTTGCATTCAACTTACAAACCAGTGTAACACCCAAATCATTTTCCAAAGACCTATTACCTTACTATTTATTTTTCCATCCTTTGTCCTGCTGAGTGTTGCACAAGCTATCAGAATTAATGCTCATTTTAAGATTATTACTTACTTTGTAAGGGTTGCTTTTATATTTGTGTTCTCCTACATACCTGTATACCTTCTCAAAATCTATAATGAAAATCTGTTTTAAATAAGAATTTCATACTACTGCAAGCAAAATAAAACACATGAAATGGAGCAGTTTTGGACTTACAGAGGAACAGGTTGAGAGAAAATGGGCCTGGACTTCTGTATCAGATTTCAGTTCTTTCCTCCAGCTCTGTCAGACATTCTGCAATCAATAACGAATATTCATTTCACATCTGCTCAGTGCCATCTGTAAAAACAGAGATAAATAATACATGTTTATTTTYAGATACCTTTCTGACATAAGTGCAAGGCTGTATATAAATATTTATAAATTATATGCCACACATTTACTATATTTAAATAATAAAACACAATAAAATTCTTTTAGAACCATATGTATTGAGCAAAACCACCTGAACAACGACAAYTGGAGGGAAGTAGACTGTGATTTTAAACTGTGTGTGATTGTGATTCCAGCAAGTTCAGCCTGGACATTCTGATGCTGAGGTGGATGACAAACTGCGCTGCTGCCAGCTCTCCTCATGGCACGCTCCCARAGGGGTTTATTTTATTTTATTTTGGCTGTGTTTTGAAGTTCAGACAGACACTGCAATAGATGCTTAAATCCACCTCTGTACAGCTGAGTATACAACATCAGTGTGACTACCCCACTTAAATCCTTCTCTGAATGAGTATGATTYAACGTGGTTTCCTTAGCAGGGATCCATATAAATAAAGCAGAAAAGGACTCAAGATACAATCATTCTCCGGGTGCCTTAAGAATCAGGCAATTGCAAGATGATTATCTGCTAAATGCTGAACATATGAAGACACCTCAGCTCAGTTTTCCTTCACAGTAAGACAAGACCTAGYGATACTCTGGTGCTTTCTCTTTATGCTAGTCTTTTTCCAGTGAATAAAGTGAATTGGTTTCTGAGTTTGCACCTATGACAACTTAGTTGCAATGGTGCTCTGGCATTCCTTCTCTGCTTCCCCTATAGGGGGTATGCTGGAATATCTTTATCTCCAAGACTCAAAAATCAGTGGCTGCAGGGAAGATTTGCTATGTACAGCATGTCACCACTTAAGCTCAATTTAACAGTAGACTATGGTGTTCCTTTTTAGAACGCTGAGAATATATCAGAGAAACTTGACTGAGATAGAACTTTACACATAAAAGAAAGGAAGAACATTTTTACACTAATATTAACTAGAAGTGTTCTTTATAGCAATAGAGTTGATAAAAACAACTCTAAGAATTTTGTTTGAACAGCGATCTTCTTTTCTCCCCAAAACTCTGTGAATTTCTTCACCTTGTCTACAACTACAATCCTGAGCTTAGAGAAACTAAACCTGATCCTGAACGCAGGAGGAAACAGAGAAAGCTGCCAGCAACGACTAAATGAATCCTGGCTCATTAGGTTTCCTCTTGCACAATGAACGTTAGCTATTACACTAGAAAAAAAGGCTCCAGATGGAAATGTGAACTTTGAAAGCTGGAATTAGCAAATACTCAGGGTAGGATAATACTATTTTTATTAAWACTTTAACATTTTAATATTAAAACATAAGAGATTCTAATGATAAGTTTTTAGAAATCAGCCCAAAAAAGGAACATATACAACCTTTTAAATTAACATCTAGGGACATATTTCCAATTGGACAGAAGACCCTGTGTTTAGATAGGCACGTATGTAGCTACCCAGGAACAACATTTGCTTTCTGCTCCCCTCTCCCTACCACAARGGCAAACAAACAAACAAACAAAGATAATATCATTTTGGYAGGAAATTCCTCCATCTTTTCTCTTTTGGATCTATATTTATATAGCCTTTTTCTAGCAGAGAATATTTTCTCTCACTTAAAGATCTATTTTCTCATATATATTCTAAATGTATGAAAAAGTAAAACAATTTCATATTTATCATCCAGATTTCAACCGAATACAAACCAATATGAACAGATCATTTTCTGCTGATGTCAGTCCACTGGGAGTAGAAAAATTTAATTGGGCGCATTGCAGGAAAGCAAATTTTTTGTCGTAAGGTCTTATCATGCCTATAGGGTATACGCTCACACTGAGGCAAAGCAAAGTTGTACTATCTAAGTAGCAGYGCTGTGCTAATCTTCTCCTAGCTATTTCTTGGGTCTGTTTTGACCTCAGGTGATATGGGAAGGATCAGTTAACAAGAAATACTCAGAATAATTCAGGTTTTTGTCCCACAAGAAATGCAATGGTGAGAAAGCGTGGTACTCAGGCGAGGAACTGATAACAACRTACACACAGTAAGAAGTTTTAATAACTTTTGGATCCAGTAAAACACAACAGAGCGAGCCCTGCTCTTGCACACACGGAGTAAGACAACAACTTGCCGATATCTCACAGTGGGCAGATCTTGGAGCAGATCCGGATGGGACAGCTTCAGCAGTTTAGTTCTTTAGCAAGCGCTCAGTTAAGCCCCTTCTAAAGTAGTGCAGGATTCCAGTGCTTTGTGTACACCTCAAAAGCTCAAAAGAACACCCTTACCATGGTGTGGTCCCCAGAGTAACTACGGAACTGTCTCCAGAAGCTGAAAGGATTAAGAGAGTAATAAGTTTAAAGTCCTTAAATAAGAACAGAGAAGAGCACTGCTAGATGAATGCATGTTCCCTGCCAATGTGAAAAACTAAGAACTCACATAAACCCAATGGTTTTTATCTTGGGTTCTTTTAGAGAAATACATCATGTGTAGCAGGCAGCAATATGACTTGCCCAAAGGCTGAACTATGGCCTGAAAGACATAAAACCCCAAACCTGACACTAGTAAAAGAGCCAACAGACTRTGAAATGGAAGCAGGTTTTGCTCCAGCAGCACACAGAAATAAATATATATCTACCTATACTTATATATAGTGAACAGATGTCATACTAGAGGCAACGGAATTTCTGTGGGAGGTTCTAGCAATGATTTTTATTTTGTATATGATATTAATAGTTCCTGAAACATGCAAAATACATTTTAAAATCCATCCTCTTTCCACCAGCTCTAAATGCCCAGTTCTCTAATGACCAGGGTTAGCTAGGCAAAATCTCAACCCATCAGCAGTTTAGTTTGCCCTTTTTCTTGCCTTATCAGGAGAGCTAAAACGGCAGAGCAAGACACTCCTGCAAGGAAGTGTGCCTTGAATACACTGAGCTTGATAACCTACAGCCAGCGAAAAACCAGCCTGCTGACTTCTGTAGCTTTGCAGGTAGCAGRGAACAGGGAACGCGTGAAACCACACTGGGTTCCAGCAATCCCTGGGAGCTCCTTCTTCGTATCCCAACCCACGTGGGACTATCCCCAAACCCACCGAGAAATACAAGGCCAGGACAAACCTCAAGCACCTGGATGCGACCACAAGCTCCATGTACTTGTCTCAGTACCCGGAAACCTGAATATTCAASGAACTTCTTGTCCTTAAAAGGACCCTTAACTATCAGATCTGGTTCTGCTCTGCCTTTATTACTGCATTATTTTGTTAAGCAATYGCTCTTGGACACTCTCCCACGACGCGTCTCTCGGGAGCTCTGCAGCCCCCTAAGCAGGGAGAGGGGCTGCTCCCATCACACGGGAGCCTCCTCCTGCAGAACAGGCAGCACCCGCCTCGCCTGCTGCACAGGACAGGCATGAGCAAAAATCAATCCCCAAATTGAAGAGAGGAATATCTAGCAAGAGACTAGCAATGAGACAGGCAACAAGGCCCAAGAAGAACCACGAGGCTAATTATGCCCGCTGAAAAAACCCGAAGCTCGGGAGAGCAGCAGAGCCTCCGAGCGGGATTCACACACTCAGCCTCTCCCACCCGCTGATGTCTCATGTGAAASGATCGCTGGACTCCGGGCGGCAGCTGCAGACACCTCGGCACCTGAAGGCTGCACTGGGAAGGCCACGACTGGAGCAGGCAGAGAGGCCAGGAGCGAGGCCGGCGCCGCTCCCCTGGCTAGCGCTCTTTCCATTCTTCCCAACAGCAGCCAGTATTAATTAACAGCTAGCCAGGGCTCATACACACACGCACACACACACACGGAGCACCGGCAGCTTTCCTCGGAGCCTTTGCCTGGCAGCAGCCGCTGTTATTCCAGACCAGTCGCTACGTTTTCTGCCTATTAACTTGGGCTATTCTGAGTTTGTTCACACACCAGGGATGTCGCCATTAATATTAATAGAGGCACCGGGGCAGCACAAGTTCAGGTTTTATTCAGGGAAGAGTGACAAGGGGGCAGTGTCAGTCACACAAAAGTGCTACTAAATTTAAATACGTAATAAAAGATATTACTCAAGCAAACTCCAGCACGCAAAATCCAGATTTCTACAACAAAATGAGCTAAAAATGCACAATCTAATCACTCCCCTGCACCTCATAAAAAGGAGCAATTTTTTGGTGCCATAACACAGCACCATCTCTGCTGCTCTCCTTCGAAGTCCTTTAGCATCAAGTACATACGGGCTGCTTTCACTGAGCCTAAATGCCGAGCAACTCGCTGCACCCACGGAAGGCAAGGCCACTGCTCGCACCGGTACAAGACTGAGGTTTAAAACACTTTCCTACCATCTTGCTCTCGGTAATTAATTTGATTTCCTTTGTGGAACACGGCAATGGGAGAAAACGCTCCAGTAACTGAGCAGGTACTTCATTTCCTCAGAGCTTCACGGAACAGAAGGGCAGACATTCCCTCCCACCAGGGCCTTTCCTGACAGCCCATCTTCCCGCCGCGCTGGCTCTTCACGTGTTTTATGAGAAAGGCTTCTGTGAAAGATGCACCTCAGTTAAAGGCCTGCTGCCACGGCAGGGCTATCTAGAAGAAAAGCATCACCYGGAACCAGAAGAGACTAGAAATATTACTGCAACAGTCAAGGCTTGGGGGCTGATTTTGTTTGTGTCGATATGTGGAGAAACTTTTTATACCCAGACCTTTCCTTCCTACCTAATTCAGTCTAGCCTGATAAATGTATTTTGGTCCTGACTACTAGACCAAACAAACACACACCCGTAACTGCAGCAAGCAGGCCTGCCTTGCCACAATACTTGCTCGGTTTAACAGACTTCTGACAGACTTGGGGTTCGGATCTTTCTCCCTTATTTGAGATAAAACACTGAGCTCTGAGTGTTCAGTACTTAACGCTGAGCTCGCTGCGGGCCGCCTCCAACCGCGCAGCCCGGTGCGTGCGGCACACGGCAGCAGCGCAGCCGGGCCTTGGCTCTCAGCTAAAGGGACCCCACATC